TCAACCTCTCATAGTTACAAAAAAATGAAAAATTATGATTGGTTGAATGAGGTTTACACGGTTTTGTACAAATTGGGTGATTTTTATTTGAACACATATATATATATATATATATATATATATATATATATATATATATATATAGACTTGGGATTATGTGAGACCAGCATGTTTTCGTGAGACCAGCATTTTACACTTGAAACTTTTTAAACCTTCACAGTGTTTTTGCTGTGAAGGTTTGACTTTTTTTAAACCTTCATAGCGTTTTTGCTGTGAAGTTTACGTGTAAAAATGTGATCTCACGGGTCTCACGAAAACAGGCTGGTATCACGTGAACCCAAGCCTATATATATATAGGGCCCTATTCAAGGGAAAACTGAGTTGTTTATGGTAACTGTGAGAACCACTCTCAACCAATCATTTTAATATATTAATTATACAATTAAAATCAAATTAAAAGGGTATGTTAGTCAATTCCTAATTTAAAATTAAATTTTAATTTTTTAAATGCAACCGTTTCAAATAAAATAAATTAATATTGATTTACATTCCTAAAATAAAATATTAATATCATTTAGTGAAATAATTTCAAAAAAAAATAATTCATTTGTGTAAACATGTTTATTATTCTGATGAATCACATGAAATCACACATATTTGTTGAAGATTGTATCCATAATATTTAAGAATGTTATCACAATGTATCACACCAGTTTGTACTAATGTTGTTAATACATCTGCAGATTTTATGTAGCGAAGGTGCTGTTACCACAATGTAGCACAAATTGATTATCACAAATTGATTATCACAAGGTCCAATCAAATATTATTACAAAGGCTAAATGTTATCACAATGTATCACACCATTTTCCAACAGATTATGATCAACACTAAATGTACCACAATGTAGCACAAATTGAGATTACTCTAGGGCTTAGTAATCGTCTCCGTCTCAAATACAGGAAAGTATCTTCACTATATTTGGATTCCAATTGAACAAGAATATTAACGTACAAAATGACCATCTTGCCTTTGTTCATATAATGTCATCAAATGACAGTAATTTATTTATAGAAATACATTAATTAAGATTCTTTTTAATCTTACCCATTATTTAAATTCAATACAAATGGTTTTTATAAATATTTTATTCAATAAAATAAAAAATTAATAATAAAAATTAACTTTTGGATTACACTATTTTAAGTTTTTTAAAATCATNATAAATATTTTATTCAATAAAATAAAAAATTAATAATAAAAATTAACTTTTGGATTACACTATTTTAAGTTTTTTAAAATCATTACGTTAATGTGTATATTTACTTTAATAATAAATATTAATATATATATATATATATATCGAATAAAAACCATTCAATTTGAAAAAACCGTGAAAACCTCATTTAACCGATCATAATTTTTCATTTTATTCATTTTTTTGTAATTATGAGAGGTTGATTAACCATGGTCTAATGTTTCGCATAAAAACAGACGGATCTCACAAGATCCAAGTCTTAAATAGTATATATATGTAATTGTATAATATAATTTAATTAATATATATATATATATATATATATATAATAGCAATAATAATTAAATAAAATATATTATTAAATCAATTTACATTTTGTAAATTTCAAAGATAACACAAGTCAATTACGAGGGGTTGCGATAAAAGGAAATGAAGCAATCAAGACTATTCATATTTGTTTGGTAATGAAATCACGTGGGTGATGGAGATCACTCATCCACTTGCATTAACTTGTTTTTTTTTTTTATTATTATTATATTTTGCATTATTTTAAATACCCAACGATCCTTTCAATTATAATCCCTCATATTTTCTTAGTCTTGTTCCTCAGAATTGTTGACGTAGAAGATCACAAGCAGCAGCAGCAGCAGAACCATCCTGTTTCAGGTAAATGAAAGCTTTCTTCTTCCATTGCCATCTCCAGAAACTGTCAAATATGTAATTGCATAAACTTCCCTTTTGTCTGCTTCTCTGTAGGTGCTTGCACAAGTAAGAATATCGCGCAATGGAGATTGTTGCCGCCATTGTTAGTCCTCTGGTTGAGTCTCTCATAGTTCCCGTTAAGAAACACCTCGGTTACTTGATTTCCTACAAAAAGTATGTGAGCGATATGGATACAAGAATGGAAGAGTTGGAAGCTACAAGACGTGGTGTTGAAGGCCACATAAACCGTAAAAAAAACAATTACCTTATGGTTCCAATGGAGGTCAGTGGTTGGTTGGAAAAAGTAGGAAATATCGAAGCACAAGTACGGGAAACAAGTCTTAGTGATGTCGACAGTTGCTTCAATCTCAAGGTTAGGCATAGGCTAGGAAGGAAAGCCTTTAAGATCATTCAGGATATCGACCGTCTCAAAGAAGAAAAGTCTAGAATTGATTGGACTGATCATCCAATTCCTCTTGGAAAAGTTGATTCCATGAAGCTTTCCACCTCTACACCATCAAGTCATCACAATGACTTCAAATCTAGAGAGCAGACTTTTATGGAAGCACTTAAAGCCCTCCAACCAGACAACAAAACCCACATGATAGCTTTATGTGGGATGGGGGGAGTCGGGAAGACCATAATGATGCAAAACCTAAAGAAAGTTGTAAGTGAAAAGAAGTTGTTTGATTTTATTATTGAGGCTGTTATAGGGGAAAAGATGGAGGTGCATCAAATTCAGCTAGCTATAGCAGACTTCCTGAGTTTAGATCTAAAAGAAACCACTACAGCAGCTAGAGCTATTAAGCTTCGTAAAAGTTTCGAGGCCCGTTCTGATGGTGGTAAGAAGAAGTTCCTGATACTACTAGATGATGTATGGCAGTTCGTTGATATTAATGATATCGGGTTAAGTCCATTGCCAAATCAAGGTATCGATTTTAAGGTATTATTGACATCACGAGACCGAGGTGTTTGTACTACGATGGGAGTTGAACTTGATTCAATTCTCAATGTGAAAGTCATAGAGAACTCAGAAGCAYATAATTTCTTTCTCCAATTTGTAAAGGKTTCCGATGATGATGATCTCRATMTTGAGCTCCGTGAGATAGGAGAAGATATTGCAAATAGATGTCACGGTCTGCCCATTGCCATCAAAACCATAGCCCGTACTCTTAAAGGTAAAAGCAAGCATGTGTGGGAAGATACAYGTTCTAGAATAGAGAACAAAGATGTTGATGAAGTCGTGCATCAAGTTTTTGAGATAAGCTACAGAAATCTCCATGATGAAGAGACTAGATCAACTTTGTTGTTGTGTTGTTTGTTTCCCGAAGATTTCGATACTCCTGTGGAGGAGTTAGTGAGGTACGGTTGGGCCTTGAGAATGTTTAACAAAGTGGATACTATAAGAAAAGCAAGAAACAGGTTGAACACATGCATTGAGCGACTCATACATGCAAATTTGTTGATTCAAAGTGAGGCAGTTGGTTGTGTCAAGATGCACGATCTAGTGCGTGCTTTTGTTTTAGACATGTGTTCCGAAGGCGAACATGCTTCAGTTGTCGGTGATATGTCAAAGTGGCCTGCAAAACCTGTGAGCGAGTTTTGCAAAAGAATTTCAATAACATGCACAGGAATGTCTGAGTTTCCTAGAGATCGTAAATATCCAAACCTCTTGTTATTGAACCTTATGAATGGAGAGAAGTCGTTTCCTGAAGACTTTTATCAAGAAATGGAGAAACTTGAAGTAATAGTGTATGAAAATATGACGTATCCATTGATTCCCATATCACAATACTCGAGTAATCTTCGAATGCTAAGTATCCATCGATGCCCATTTATGTTTGATTGCTCTCCTGTTGGTGATCTTTTAAACTTGGAATTGCTTAGTTTTACCTATTGCAAAATAGAAAAGTTACCATCCACAATTGGAAATTTGAAGGAGCTAAAGTTACTTGATTTGACAGGCTGTAGTAATCTTTGTATTGATGATGGTGTCTTGAAAAGTTTGGTCAAACTTGAAGAGCTTTATATGCGCAGGGTTAGACGACATGCCGATGGTGATGAATTAGTGGAGTGTTCAAAAAACCTTGTTGAAATAGCAATTGAGTTTTTTGGTGACAATGCTTTGCCAAAGAATATGTCATTTGGGAAACTTGAATGGTTCAAGATCTCTTTGGGATGCTCTGTTGATGATTGTGATCTCCAAAGCAAACATTCAGAAGAAAACACATTATGTTTGGTGACCAACAAATGTGAACTTTTGGATTCTAGGGTGAATGATTTGTATGGAAAGACAAAGGTGCTTCATTTACAAGTGGATGGTATAAATGATCTTGGAGATTGTTTAGGGGAATCYTTGCATCGTTTTGGATGCCCATTTTTCAGTTTAAAAGTCCTTCATATTTGTGAGTGTGCACATTTGAGATACCTCTTCACAGTCCATGTGGCAAATGGTCTGAATCAGCTTGAGCACCTCAAAATTATCAAGTGCCCTGCATTAGAAACACTTATAGATGATGAGAATTGTGAAGTTAAGGTCATCAAATTTCCAGCTCTAAAGTTCCTATCTTTGATTAATCTACCAATGCTAATGAGTTTGTGCAAGCTGGGTGGCAACGTAATTGAGTTCCCACAACTGGAAGTATTGAAACTTGATAACCTTCCAAATTTCACTAGCATTTATGAAGATTTTCTAAAGAAAGAGGTACATATGTTTTAGTTAACGTAAAAGTTATAGTAATAAACTTCAATTTTCTAGTAGATTTAGTTAGTAATAGAAGTCACAATATTACTTGATTTGAATGTAGTTATTTGATTATGATGCAGGTTGTGAGTTCTAAGTTGAAGGATTTGACGATTACGGAGATGGAGAAGTTGACGGAGATATGGCCAAGTCAATATTTGAGTAGTAATGAGGTTAGTCAATTGAGAATGATTGAAGTGAAAAAATGTGATAGTCTTGTGAACTTGTTTCCAAGCAATCCAATGTCGTTGCTGTATCATCTGGAACAACTTACAGTTTCCGAATGTGGTTCCATTGATGTGTTATTCAACATTGATTTGGAATCATGTGTTGGTGAAATTGAGCAAGAGAACAACAACTTGAGATCTATTACAACAATTGGATTAAGGAAACTTAGAGAGGTTTGGAGGGTGAAGGGAGTAGTCAACTCTAGTCTCCCCATTCTTGGCTTTCAAAGTGTTGAATGCATAGTGATAAGAGAATGCAAGAGGTTAAGAAATGTATTCACACCTACCACCTCAAATTTTGACATGAGGGCACTTAAGAAGATTAGTATAAATGGCATTGATGGGTGGGGAGAAAATAAAAGCAACAATGAAGAGGTATGTTTTGTCATCCTAACTTTCAGTTTCATTATAAAATTGTTGGTGCAATTTAGTTATTGTTAAACGAATTTGCTAATTACATTTGTTGTTGGAATTAATATATGCAGATTAATGTTACAACCAATGAAGGCATATCAGAAGTGGAAGATGATATTCATAATGTTGCATTCCCATCTTATCTCATGCATAATTTGCATCAACTTCATACGCTTAGGTTACTTTATTTTGAAGGGGTGGAGGTGGTGTTTAAGATAGAGAGTTCAAGTTGTAGAAAGTTGGCAACAACTCAGAATAATCACCAACCGCAACTACTCCCTCACCTCAAGGATCTGGAATTACATGGTCTGAATAGGATGACTCATTTGTGGAAGTACGATTGGAACCAATTCTTAGTTTCTCAACAAGAACCGAAATCTTCTTCATTCGTCAATATCATGAGCATAACCCTTTGTTCATGTGGCCGTATAGAATACTTATTCTCTCCTCTCATGGCCAAACTTCTATCCAACTTAATTAGCATCACAATAAAGTCGTGTGATGCTATGGAAGAGGTTGTTTCTGACATAGACGATGAATATGAAGGAATGGCTACGTCTATATCTTGCCACACAGATACGACTTTCTTCCCGCATTTAGACAATCTCAACCTTGGTTATTTACCATGCCTAAAGCGTATCGATGGTGGTGGTAACAACTGTGGGGGCAAGGAACTCATGACTTCCACTGTTACTGCTTCTTCTGTTTATGATAAATTCCAGGTATAGTTTCGTTTTTTATCACTATCACGTGAACATTTAACTATTTACTTCAAATTTTGTATTTATTTGTAAATGTACTATCAGTTGTATATTTTATGATCTTCGTTAATATTCGCTTGTTGCATACGATATCTCAATTGATTGACTTAATTTTTTTTTGTCATCTATTGTAGTGTTATCAAGTTGGTGGAGCATATTGGTCCTCTTTCCAATATGCAAAAACAATAGATATACGGGAATGTCATGCCTTGTTAGCTCTGATTCCATACCAAGCGGTTGGTGACAATGCTAATATTGGTGAAGGAAGTGGTGATACGGTTACAATCCCAACGCCGATAAATATGACTTCACTTGAATTGCCCAACCTGAAAATCTTATATATTGCCGGATGCCACAGTTTGAAATATATATTCACAACTTCTATACTTAAGAGCCTTAACAAACTCCAAGAGTTGAAGATAAGTGATTGCTCTGCAATACAAGTGATTGTGAAGCTGGAAGACAATGGAGAGCACATATTAGGATTGGAAGATGTGGTCTTCCCTCGTCTTACGACCCTTACACTAGTTGGTTTACCAAGTCTCAAGGGGTTCTTCTTGGGGAAGAATGACTTCCAGTGGCCATTATTGGATAAGGTTAAGATCTACCGTTGTCCGCAAATGATGATTTTCACATCTGGTCGCTCGATGGCTTCGAAACTAGAATACATACATACAGGTGTAGGCAAACATAGTCTTGAATGTGGCCTCAACTTCGATTGGACCAATGCACCACATGAGGTAAAATACGTTGTTACCTGGTTCATTGAACTATAAAATTAATTACTTACTACCATCTAGTTGTAACATGTGCCTTCCACAACTAATTAACATTCTTTTAGTTTTTATCAGTGTGGCTGACCGATGTATGTCTTTTTCTTAATAGGGTCAACTCTATAAGTCAAGTTCCTGCTCGACTGGTGCAGATATAATAGAGTTACTTCAATTCCCTTGGTCTTTTTCCAACTTAGTCGAAGTAGATATACAATATTTTGACAGTAAAGCAATATTTCCAAGCCATGAGTTGTTTAACGTAGAAAATGTTGGAGATATTGAAGAAGCAGAAAAGGTATTTGAAGTAGTAGAAGGGACAAATGATGAAACACAATCTGCAGATGATGTGATACTAATTTCCAAGAAAAAACAAGTTATATGGAAGAGTAATTGGTGGATACCATCCAAACCTTCAAACCTCACAAGGGTATCACTTCATTTTTGTGACAATATGGAACATGTTTTCTCTCATGGCATGGCTGCTAGTTTAGTCCAACTGCAACGCCTTGTGATACATTGCTGCACCGGTTTGAAGGTAATTGTGGAGGCAGTGCGAGATTCCACTAACGAGATGGTTTCCTTCCCTTTTCTAAAATCCTTAGAACTTGCTCATCTTAACAAATTGGAGGGATTTTGCTTGGGGAGTGATCAGGCTTTTCAATGGCCATCATTATATACTTTGAGAATAGAAAGATGTCCAAGAATGACAGTTTTCACCAAGGGACAGTCTACTACTCCAAAGCTAGAGTTAATAAGAACAAGTTTTGGATGGTGTGAGGCAAAGGATGACATCAACTCCTTTATAAGGAAAAGAACACAAGAGGTAGGTTTGTGATATTCAATTCCTTCTAATTTGTGAGATTAAGTTATGTTATTTTAGTATGAACATTCTTGTTTTAATTACAGGGATACGAATTCTAGAGAAAGATTGATCGAGGCTTCATGGAGTTTAAGGTACGGATTCCTAACCCTTTTCGTTTATTTGATTCTTTTACATATTTTTTTTGCAAACCCTAAAGCTCTCGTTTAACTAATGACCTTCCAAATTGTTCATTATTGTATCTTCCGTTGGGTTCACGTGAGACCAGCCTGTTTTCATGAGACCCGTGAGACCATATTTTTACACTTGAAACTTCACAGCAAAAACACTGTGAAGGTTAAAAAAAGTCACCTTCACAGCATTTTGCTGTGAAGTTTCAAGTGTAAAAAAGTGGTCTCACGGGTCTCACGAAAACAAGCTAGTCTCACATGATCCCAAGTATATATATATATATATATATATATATATATAGAGGAGCGTTCAAATAAAAACTTGCCACATTTGTGTAAACCGTGTAAACCAATCTCATCCGTCCATTTTCTTGATCAATGACTAATATTAGTTTACTTTATTTTAGAAATTAAAAAATAAAAAATATTAAAAAATTATTTTATTTCAATGATAAGGACAAATTGGTAAACAAAAGTTAACATCAATATAACATTAATTCCATAAACAAAAGTTAACATCAATATAACATTAATTCTATAAACAAAAGTTAACATTAATATAACATCAATGAACCWTTTTATAATSAAATYTTTWCAYATTAACATTAATTCCATAAAGAACAAAATATAATATGCACTCGTTTCATCATGTATTTATTTCATAAAAGAACACAATACATTACGCACCCGTTTCATTTTCATCCTACCAACTAAACGGATCAACTTAATCACAAAGCAACATGGATCATCGTGAACCTAGATGTACTATACATTCAATCACAAAGCAACAAGGATAACCATGAAACTTCAATCACAAAGCACCTATTTCATTAACACGTATAATATGCATAGACAAAGCAAATAAACCATTTTACAATAAAACATTTTCACATTGAAACAGTTTCATGACCATTGTTTTTTGAACTTTGTTTATGAAACTATTCATTACAATATTTTCATTAGGAAATAGAGAGATTATATTATTCCGATTTTTCAATTGTTTTGAAACGTTTGATGAAACCGTTGCATCAATAGTTCATTTTCCTTATTCCACTCATATGAACATGATTCATCATTATGAACCTTTTCATTATGAAACAGTTTCATGAAACATTTTCATTAAAGTGGATAATATGCCTAGAGTATTAATTTGTACAATATGCCTACAGTATTAGATCATGAACATGCTTCATCATTATGAACCTTTTCATTATGAAACAGTTTTATGAAATTTGCCTCATATGAAACAGTTTCATGAACTTTAGGAATTAAGTTCGCCCCATATGAACGTCCCATATGAAACAATTTCATTATGAAACATTTTCATTATGAAACATTTTCATTATGAATGTCCCATACAAATCAAGTTTTAATATTATAATATATTAAATTTTTTAATATGTTACCATTCAAGAAATTTCCATTATTAAATTTCCTTATTTAATATTTATTAATAACTACCTTATTTATCATAAAAATATAGAAAATGACTGAAATACCCTTATTGATTAAATTTAATTAGAAAAAAAGGAATTTTCCTATTGGTCGAAATTGGTTTACATGGTTTCTTAGAAAATGCACGGTTTTCATTTGAACGTGCCCCTATATAT